GGAAAGCAGCTGAGGTCGTCGATGAGGGCTTCTTCCCAGCCCTCGCCAGCACAGGCATGCCTCCAAAACTAATGAAGGCTGCCCAGAAATCAGAGCGCACCGCTTTCTCAAGCTTCTGAGCTGCGGAAGAATAGTGCTGCAGAGTTACGAGCTGTGGCGAGCACCGTTGAAAAGACGTAGGGGCTGCTGTTGTGTTGGGGCTGCAGCAGAAGCTCGGAATGTCTCGGGATCCAATGGCAAAGCTTCCGCTGGTCAGTAAACTGGGCTTGTTTTCGAAGGCGGAATTTGAGAGAGCCCTGGCGATCAAAGAAGGCGGAAGCTTAGACTATGATCCGGTGACGCCAGGGCGATGTTACCTGCAGGTTCGGACGTTCAGCACAGGCCACCGGCCGCAGACCGGAAGATGCCCCATGAGCCCATGGGCCAGCGCGAAACACTCTCTAAGGAGGAATGACTGCAAAGGCCGAAGGGCAAAGCCTCAACCCGCTAAAGCCGGGTGGGGTGTACTTTGTGTGTGGGTGCGGTTCAAGGCCGAAAACTGGAGTAGTTAGATTGACCGAGACCTCGAAACATTGGTTCGGAAGTACAAATTGTTTGCAATGTTCGCGCATGCAAAGCACCTGGACGATTTCCTCGCGTGCAGGTTGCATCGCTCAGTGGCCTGGTGCGCCGTGAGGAGTGGCCGCTGCAGGTGGATGCCCAAAGCCCGCCGCCAGCTGAACATTTGATGTTCTGTCAGAGTGCAATGATGCAGGGGAACTCCAACATAATCCCCAAACGAGCAGGGGGGGGGGGGGGGTTACCACCCTTACCCCCTTACCCGCCCCGCTCATGTTCTCGTGTTGAGCATCCGTACCTCTTCCTGCATGGATCGTGCCTACCAACAGCTTCAAGTGCTACAAACGACGTTATAGTAACAAGAACATGTCGAAGAAAAGCAGAGTAAATGCAAAGCATGAACGCCATGCAATTCACATCCCAAACTCATCAGCATCCGTAGTTATTGTGATGTCCATCCTTGCAGCAGCAACCTTTTTTTCCCCACCAGCCGCAGTTTTGTTCATGTGTTTTTGGAATGTCTTGAGGTGCTGGACTTCTGTTTATAGTAGCTGCTGATGTGGCCGATGTGATGATGCGTCTAGTACGGCTGCAGTGTAGACAAAGCCACTTGTCAAAAGGTGGTTGGGACAAGTTGGGACCAAGTTGGGACCAAGGTTCAGGCAACTCGCGGACTCCATCAACCTTCGCATGGTCTGCTTCCTACCGCTCACTGCACCGGCCGGCATTTTTTTAATTTCGATGTTGCAGTGCGTTGTCGGCGTGGCATGCTCGTGTACACCGTTTACACCAAGCTTGTCCGATGCTATCTCCTGTTTCCAGATGCTCGAAAATCTCTGCAAGAATCTCCACAAACGCTTCAGCGCTGAGGCGCGCGTGATGGCACTCTTGGCCTGCGGCCACTAGCTCAGCAAATCTTAGGACGGTTCAGCTGGGCTCAGCTCAGAGACTCCTGCAACAATGTTGCGGGCGTCTTTGAAAGGTGCAGCACCTGATGCGGCACCGAAGCATCTGCAGCGGCTTGCGCCGAACCCCCAGTACAAAAACGTGCTTTGTGCAATTCCCACAGGGCCGCCACCCGACAACCACAGAAAACTTAATTGATTCTGAAGGGCTGGAGGGGCTGTGTGTTCTTGGGTGGCAGAGCCATCAGGGCTTGGGGTGGACTTCCATACGCTGCCATCGCCCGCCATCCACCATTTAAGTGTGCTTGTGGGCGCGTTTCGTGCATCAGCTTGCTGCTTGCTTCTTTCCACCCTTCCACCCTTCCAAAGCTGATTCAAGAGCTCCGGCTCAAGACGCGAATAGGGGACTGCACCAATCGACGAGAAAGTCATTGTCATCGATTGTACCGATTGTCCCACTCCAGAAACGGACTGTTTCGGAGTGTTACTCTGCGCGCACTTCTTGGGAACAAGTCGTAGCAACGCCTCCCTCGAACCACTGCGAAGACACGAGGGTCCTCCCTCCCTTCTCACCGTGACTCCTCACCTCCGAAAAGACATGGATCGTCGAGGTAGGACCACTTGTCATACATGGGCACGAGGGCACCATTTTGCCCTTTGCACTTGAGAAGCTGAAAGTGTCGCAAGGCCGCTGATACCATCACATCCTGATCCTATCCGCTCAACATTGTCCGATAGGCTTTCAAGCTGTCGAAGGCGTAAACCCAGCAAGCATGCCATGGTATTCACGTGCACTGACAAGGGGCACATGTGACGAGAAAGGGCCACACTCACTCGGAATCTGTCCCAAGCTGGGCTGTGGTGCAGCTCCGCCCATGCGAATCGGGGTAGGCTCGGCGAGGCCAATTCGACCTTGCTCGCATCTGACCCCAAAATGTCAGACACGTGCTCAGAAGGGAAAACTGCAGAGACTTGCCGACTTTGTTTGCAGCTTGTGGCCTCCGTGGCCTGTCTGTGGAGGCAAGCTGCGCTGGCTGTGTGCCGGAGCCCAGCATGGCGCTGGTCATGGTCAATCCTACAGAATCCCAAAATTCCGAAGATGCCCTAAAGCTTGGACAGGTCCAGCCTCGATCTTGGTGCTGTGTGGTGCTGTTGTCTTACGTCTGAGGGTGGAAGACCTGGCTGTGCAAGCTGCAAGGCGCTTTTGTGAAATTATCTGCTAAGAGTTCAAGAGGACTGGTTAAGGCTTAACTTTCTGCTGAACTTGCTTCGTTTGTGGTTTGCTGCATTTTGTCGTCATCATCAAGTAGCAGCTTGTCTGATGCGTTGTGCTCGAGATATTGCTTCGGCTGGGGCGCAGGTCTTTTGCCCAAAGTGCTCGCCAAGCAGAATCTGCTGGCAAGAGCCTCAACACAGCACAAGCTCAGAAGTGAACAATCCGAACAACAGTTCGAACACTACAAGAAATGGGAAAGACAGATTGACAGGTGCCGTACCGGGTACAAGATAACGCACAGCTGTAGTCGGTTTGCGAGGCACAGATGCAGCTGCAGCAGCTGTAACGGCCATCGCCTCTTGGATCTGCTTTGGAAGACTCACAGAGCATGTTCCGCAGTAGCGAGCAAGCCGCTTCAGAGTCTGCTTCAGTGCTTCTTCGACGGATTCTGCCTCCATTAAGGCCTTTGCCGCTCAGAGTGACGTTGGAGAGGTGCGCGAAGCGTCATAGCGATGCCACTTCTGCTGTCCTCCCAAAGTCTCCCTGCAATTGCACGGTTGTGCCAATGGTTGCCATTTCTCTTTTGGCTCCCAGCGGCCGCACCGTGGCGAAAACATGCCGCTGCCCTTCCTCGACGCCCTTGCTTGGCTCCATGGCGACCATGTCAGAGCCCCGAACATGAGAAGCTCAGGCGTAGGGGACAATACGGGACATGACTTGGCACTCGAGGCCATCCACTCGGAGCCGAGCTGGAGCACTTCCTCCCTGCCAGGCACTTCTTCACACTTCTGCCGAGGTCGAGCCCAAGTGTCATGCCGTGTTCATCTTGCAGGGCAGGAACCGCAGCACCATGATGGTGTCCTGGATGGGCTGTGTCCGCCCCAGCACTAGCAAGGAACTTTCCCCATCAAGTTCAGGCGCAGTAAAGTAGGACTTACCACATCAAGTCCCTGCCCTGTGAAAACGTATTGCGGTGTACTCCAAGGTCGCTTGGTCTGCCTAGCCTGACAAGTGGCTCTGCAAAGGCTGCCGAGAACCATCTCAACATCAGTTTCTGCTTCATGGCGAACATTGTGAAACAACTTTCGCGCACAGGGAATCTGAACAAGCATTTCTCGCATTGTCATTCTTGCGCAGGCGGCTGCGTTTCTGCAGGGACCACAGAATCCGTCGTGGCATGCAGGCCAGAGCCAAGCCCCTGCTTGCAATGCAGATGTGGATTGCGTAATGCCGATGGAGAGACGCATGATTGGATATTGGTGTCCCTACTTTGACTTGTCTAGTTGTGCCTCCATGTGCCTCCAGCGCTGCTGTCTTTACTTTTGGGGCTCCGGCATCTGTGGCATACTGGCATTTCTTCTCATGGCCCATAGGACGATTGCAACCGCTTCTGCAAGTTTGCAAAACTTTTCTCATGCTTTGACAGTTGCAAATGAGCATGAGCACACATTCCATGGAGTTACATCGGTTCGGAGAGTTCGGAGACTGCGGTCTCTCTGACTGAAGTTCCACAGGCAGCATTCGCGCGTCCGTTATCATCTTTCGGGGTCTTGTACGCTATGCTGCTAGGGGTCTACGCCGGCAAAAAAGCTTAATGGGTGCTTCAAGGAACTTCCCCTCTGTGCCACGAACGCTTGCAGGTGCGGGCAGCACCCTTCCCGCGGTGAATCCAGTGCGGAGAATAGTAAAGTCGTCAACAACAATCGTAAGGCAAGCCTGCAGCCACGAAAAACACAGAGACGGTGTGAAGATACTGGGAGGGAAATGGCACCATGTCAAAAGCTGTGCACTTTTCCACTCTTTGCTGATGTACGCACATGTAAAGAAGTGTTTTCGGCTCCCGCTATTTCATGCTTTGTTTTATTGTTCGATCACGGCATCCCGTCTGGATTCCAACTGAAGCATCTCGAGTAAAGAGGCCAAAAAACGTGCACGCACATACATAGCTGTGCGTGTTTAGATGCATGAGTGTAAGCTTGAGCTATTGCTGCCTGGCTCGCGTCCCAGGTGACATGCTTGTGCTTGTGCAAGGGTGCCGTAGGGTCCCATGACGGTCCCCTGTGTGCATCTGCCCACAAAAAACAAATTCGAGCCAGTGCCTTAGTGGTTTTGTTCTGGCTTCAGTTGATAGTGCTTGCCTGCATCAGGAACTGAGTCTGACATGCAGTCGGATGCAGCGCAAGCTTTCAGTGCAGGGGGCCCTGTCGACCAGATGCCGCAATGCTCGTGCGATCGCAGGTTCGGCCTCGCTCAATTCGCTCATTTGAATGCCAGCTTCGTTCGACAATCGTGCCACCTAGGCAACCGCGTGGCAAGGGCAGATGAGTAGTGCCCGGCACGGAACGTCGCAGGGCCCTCGCTTTTGCCGGACGCGGCCAGCGCTCCGCTTGCCTATGCTTATCTATGCCTTTTTTGCGGAGGTTTCTTTTCGACAAGGAGACGATGTCAAATGCCATAGGTGCAATGAAGGCAACACCGGCTGTTGCGTGACGTGGCTGCACGTGGTGTTGGCACTGTGCTGCCTGTGTCAAGACATGTCAATTGACGCTGCACGCTCGCAACGCAAAATGGCTCCGTGCACGGGACAAGATCGTATGATGCCAGAAGTTGCTGTCATTCGCCTCTTCTGGCCGAGGCTAATACCTTTGCACGCAGCGTCTATCGTCTTCTCCCTGCCGGGGCACATTGCCTTTGAGCTGGGTCAATTGCCCGGCAATTGGGGAACGATTAATGCACCTCCTTGCCTCCAGCATAGTCCAGCACAGGTGAAGGATACCTTTTCGGCTTCCAGAAGGTCTGCAGCCGTAAGTCCTTGGCCGGGACAATTTTGCAACTGCAGTTAATTCAGTCTTACGGTGTAGTTGATCGGTTTTGATTGGCTTCGAGGGCCTTCAGCTGGCGTTCGTGGGGAAAGCTGTGGGAGCCTTGGCGGCCTTCGGCGTCGGCCGGTCTGTGGGCTGTCAGGAACCTAGGAATTTGCCGTGTGTGAAGGGGTGATGATGGTGATGTGGGGGGCGGGAGGGCCTGGTTGCACTCCAGGCTGTCAAGATGTACGCGAGCCACGAACTCAGATCCTTATCCGAGCTTCACTGGTTCCAGTCGCAGCGAACCTCGCGCAAACGCACTGGGCAGGGGCCTTGCCCTACCCCCTGGCAGCAGAAGCAAGAGAGCGAGTGATATGAGTGACAGTTGAGTGACGCTGTGACAGTTGAGTGATGCTGCGAGATATGACCACCGCTGTGGCTGACATCATTTTGCCTTAGCCATCGTTGTGGAATTGGAGATGTGAGAGGTCAGTCCGGAAGCGCATGGAGTCGTGGCCGGTGGCCACAAAGGCCGCCAAGAGCTCTCAGCTCAGAGCTTCCGCTTCACTCCGGTCGTTGTGTCGGTTCTCATGATGTCTCACTGCATTCACTGGATGCTGCTGGACTGGGAGCGGGACATAGCGGGACTGGGTGCTGCGTGGATGTGATTGGGAGCTGCATGGCACCGGTCTGTATCCGAGGTGTCGAGCAGGGAGGACATGCATCCGTCTTCCTGGTAAGGCCCACGATTGCACCATGCAGCAGCAGCCCACTGCTATGTCTGCTAAGCAACTGCAACTGCTAAGTTAGCCGCTACTAAGAATCCAATTGCCGCTGCTCCCCTACTGTTTGACACTATGTTGAGCACTTTTGTACTGCAGCGGCGCAGGAGAGCACAAGAAAGACGGCACACAAGTCCAACGTGAGTTCAACTAGGCAGTGCCAGGATAGCGCCACTCCCTTGCCTGGTCAAGAACTACGCCCTGTCTTTGCTCACGGACATACCGTGGAGCACCTTCGTGCCAGGCAGCTGCTTTGCCAGACTAGTCCGGCTCTGGCCAATGGATGCCAATGTCCATGTTTGCCCAGCAACGTGAACAGCCAGGAACCCTTCTCGGACTCCTTCCAACCACCGCTGCCCACGTTTACGCAGGCTCGCTTTTCATACATACGCGAACCTTGGCTTGCTGCTATACTCACCATGCTGGCAGGCACTTTGGCCCCCACGTCTGCGGAGCTCATGTTGCTTGGATTGTCCAGAACAGGGTGAAGCACATCACTAACGAAGACTAGCGCCCAGCTACCAGATTCTAGATTCTAGATGCGTCTAGATGGTTCTAGATGCATAAGCAATTTTGCGGATGCCAGGAGTGGGCAAGGAGCCGCGATGAAGGCCTTCCCGAGCATGAAAGAAAGTACAGGAGATGATCGAGAACAGGTGAGACAAGCCCCTTCGTGCGGGCGACGTGAGCCGTAGACATGTGTAGACATGCCAAAGGTCTGCTGGCACACCAATAATGGCAACTGGGGCGCTGCCAAAGTATTTGGGGTAGTTGAGCCGCATATTGTGTGTTTGGGCCCTTCAACCATGCATTGTTGGGTACAGTCTTACTTCAATATTCCTTTAGCCTATTGATGCGTCGTCCCGCGATGCAAACACCATCGACCGCATGACTGTTCAGGCGGTTGCAGCGGCAAGCACTATGGGCGGCATTGCTTTCCTCGGCTTGTTGGCAGCGTGCGCGTTTCCGATCGGCGTCTTCGCTTTAAGGGGGCACACATGGCACACCCACCGTCTTGGCAGGTACTGCTTGCAACAACGTATGAGAGAAAAGCAGGAGGATGAGGACCTCACTTCGGTTCATGTCGTCAGCTTGTGCCGTGTGCTCTCGACAGGAAGAGGTTGAGAAAGAGCTGCCCCAGGTAGTTTTCAGGTGCCGCTTCAAACACAACGAATTGCCCGTGACATGTTCTGGCTGATTCTGGCAAGCTAGCAGCGTGGCCAAGAGAATAGCTCAGGCCTGGGCAGCGGGTGAAGGAGGTGGAGACAGTGAAGCTCTTTCGGCCGGACATGAGCGCCTCCAGCGCATGATGCACCAGCTGTTGAGCTAATATACAACACGCACCGCACACCAAAACAAGGTCCTACATACTGGACATGCCAGCCAAACGCAGTTCCTAGCAAACAATATCTAGATGTTAGATATTCACACACCGTTGAATCGTTGCAGCAAACCTTGCTGCGATAGTGTTCCTTGGGACATGGCGGGGGAGATGAGAAGAACCATGACGAATCACATTGCCGCATCGCCATGATCTCAGGACACATGCTGCGACATGACGCGCGTTTGCGCGCATGAAGAGCTACAACCGATCATTAATCAGCTGCATCGAAGCTCGAGCTGTTTGCATGCAGCTCGTGCGCTGCGCTTCTCGCCATGGCTGCAGAATATGTGAGTGTTATTGATTGTTTGTACCAGGGCCAACCATAGCATTGCTGTGTTGCCCTGCAGCCAGCCTGGTTGCCAGATCTCGCCTGCGCACAGGGAGAAAATCCAATTTGTCAGATTCCCCGACTGCTAGAGCTGCTAGAGCTGCTACGGATTGTTGCTGTCTCAGGGCTTGGGCTACGTTACGATTGCAGGTGAAGCCATTCTCCGCAAGCGGCATCTTGAGCCACAGCTTGCAAGTGCTGCAGCCCTAGCTGCCTCCGCCAAACTCAGCGTGGCGAAGATGCTTTCGACAACGTTCATTTCATAGAAGATAGCGGGTGTCTGTTCAGGGGTGTTAAGGTATTCATAGTAGACAGTCCACGAAAGATCCGCGAACAGGAGCACAAAAGGAAATCTGTGTTTGGCCACAGTTTGCATAGGGAAATCCGTGTTTCTGGAAGCAAAACGCAGCTCAAGCGCAAGACTTGCGACAGTTCCGTGAAAGTCTCTCGCATGTCTGACGCATCCCGGAAAACACCCTGCCCATCTCATCCTGCACCTTCAGTCCTGAACTTAAGTTATCCCAAGCTCACCTCGATTCAGCCTTAGTCTGAATCTTACCTTCAACCCGAACCTCAAGCTCTGACAATCCGACGTCATGCTTAGCCTTCCTCTACACTCAACCCCAAACAGAACTCTGCACCGCCGAAGCAAGGTAATATTCGTGTACGATGCATTTAGATCAACTGCCGTTGTAAGAGAGGACGAGGCCTGTAGTGGGCTGGAACACGCAACTCGGACTTGACAGACCACGTTGGACCGTGCATACTCGCTGCTTCTGCAGGTGCTGCAAGTCTGAAAAATTCTGAGAGGCTTGAGAGGGCAAACAGAGCTGGCAATGTAGTTTGAGGCTTGACCACCTTTGGTCTTGCATCGGGAGCCAGGAGCAGGAGAGCAGGATAGTTGTAAACGCTTGCGCGCGCCGCCTCGGCGGCCGGGCCGGCCAACAGGAAAGGAGGAAAGAGGGCTCAAAAGAATGGAGAGGGGGTTTCAGGGAAAGGGTTCCAGGCTGGGTTAGGGGGAAGGAGGCCGGATCCGGATCGGTCTGCTTGTTCCAAACGCTTCTCGGCAAGCATGCGTTTTTAGCAGATGGGCTTTTGGGCACAGACGGCAGTGTAGGCCGCATTGGACTCAGGGTTGAGGCTGACATGCAATCAGGTCAAAAGGGTGAGATCCGGCAAGTCTCACGCAGGGTATCTTGGGTCAGCTTATGGCGTCTCCTTACACTCAGTTCTTCAATCCCGAATATTATCCCGCCTGTGTCCTTCTTGTGGAAACCATTGCAGAAGCATGCTTGCGGGAGGTCCCTGGAAATTCCTGAAGCTTCAATTCTAAGCAAAAACACACGGCCAAATGTCCATGCTGCAACTGCAGCTGGCAGTTGTACATGAGAGGCCAGTAAGTTGCCATATTGGTGCCATACTGGTGCCATAAACTGTCATAAGCTTCATGGGCTCGGCAGGACACCAGGGGCCCGTTGGCCGCTGAAGACCGGCGCCGGCTTGTGGAGGCTGAAAGAGAGAGCCAAGTATAGTCCAACTACGTATGCTGTAAAGAAGTATGCTAAGTAAATCGAAGGACGAGGTTGAAACTCAAGAGAGCCGGCATGCAAGATAGAGACGCAATTATCGGAAATCGGCCGCGTAGCATCTTGCCTGCAGCGCGTAGGTCTGCGCAGGGTCCTCGTAGGCAAGTTTGCACAGTACCTCCGCGTAGGTCCGCGTAGGTTGTTGGCATATATTATGATAAATGATAAAGATATACGATGCAATTCATATATGTATACATGTTTTTTGATATATATATATATATACATGTATATTTCGTATTAAATAGACATATGTGTATATGTATACATGTATATACTATATAGATACATACGTATAAATACATGTATGAATGTAATTTCCGCATACATCCGCGTAGCCCACGCGGAGGCGTAGGTGTCGTTCTCAACGTCGTAGCCCATCCGTCAGCATCACGAAATCGGACAGGGTTGGGCAGGAAATCGGGCAGAGTCGAGCAGAAAATTTAGGGTTTAGGCGGTTTAGGGCCAAAACAATGCGTGTGCGCTTTGCTCCAGGGCTTGCCGCGTGGGTCCGTGTAGGCCCGCGCCGCGCGGCTACTAAACATGAGTTCACGCGCAGGCCCGCGTAGGATGTCAATGCCATTACAACACCCCACACAATGAAAAAAAGAGAATCCCAAACTCAGTTACAATTTGCCAACCTAGCACACTGTCATGCTGCCCAAAGGGAGCTTTGCAAGTTATGCATCCATCTGTCAAGCCAAGAAGGTGACGTCCGCCCTGGCCTCGGGCACAGGCGGGCTTTGCACAGTGCAGCAATAGCATGGCAATGACGAGAGCCGCTCCAGCAGGATCCAGCTGCTGAATAGCCAATAGTAATTCAATAGTAGCTAAATGCTGACTTCTACTACTTAAGATACTGATGCATGATTCGTTCGCAGATGCCCGCAACATCCTTCAGCATTATGGTGCAAATGCAGCGGAATGGCTTGCACAGCGCACAGCACACAAACTCCAGCATCCAACGTGTGAACATCTTCAGTTAGTCCTCTATGCCAATTCTACACACAATGGGCATGCTCTTGTCTTGCATGCTTTCCGCCCAGGTGATTCACTCACTAACTCACAAACCATATACGCATGCTGTTCGAATCCTCGTTGTTGCTCAGACTATTGAAAAGACGGAATAGACACGCCGCGTGCTGCCATGCGATTGGTGTCACAAGGCACCGAACAGTTTGCACAGGCAATTTCTAAGAATGCGCTCTGAGGGAGATGCTTCTTTGCAACAGAACACAAACAGGCTGAAGTCGGGGGACGACTTGACTCAGAGACCCGAGCCTGTGACTGGAGAGATGTCGTTTTGCCCAAAGCCGGGTAGCACGTTGGCATCTTGGCAACATCATGCAACATCCTAGTCTGGCTGCACAGTGTAAGATGCTTTGCTGTCACACCCCCGCCCAGACCCTGGACGTGCATTGATTGGGATTGGTTTAGTCAGTTGAGTGGTTTTCTGCCTGGGAGAACATGGAGCGCCGGTATCCGCAGCCAGGGTTGCCAGCACCTGGAGAACTGCCCGACTTGAGAGATCTCGTCGCAAGTGAGGAATTGAATGAACATGCAGTCGTCGCTCAGGTAGTGGCGAAAGCCTTCTCAGAGTTCACGCAAGACGAAGGTTACCTAGCTTCCTGCCGGCAGGTTTTGTGAAGCATCCTCAATGTAAAAAAGCGTGGTGACTTAGTGAAGTGCCCTGCGGCACTTTGGGCCGCGGTTCAGAAGAAGCCCAGCGGCTGGCAGGGACTAGCCTGCAACTAAGGTCCTACAGCCAGGTCAGCGAGTACACGTGACCTTTGTGGGTTCCGAGGGCGAGCAGGCTGGCTGGCTATATGGGACACTGCCACTGCCTCAGGTTGAAGCTTGCAGACGCAGAAGCCCGTAAGGCTAGGGCGGAGTGTTGTCGGAGACACTACTTGTAGATGTGTTTTTCATCATTCCATGTAGATAAATCTGCCCCTGCAGGCATCAGCTGCGTCACGCGCTGGTGCTTCAAGTGTCAAACAACCATAAATAAATGCCTCGACTTCGAGGATGAAACTCTGTTTTTCGCGCTACATCTGCTCATTCAAGTTAGCATCAGCTTGTCTACACCTTTTTGTGTCAGCTCACCCCAGGAAATCATCTTACATGCGGTCGGGCTGGAAAATTAGACTAGGGCGTCCATTATTCTCAAACAGTTCTAATACTGGGCTGGGGTTGGTAGGTGGGGGGAGGGGGCTGCAAAAGTGCTTCTTGAGAAGTAGGGAGTGGTTCAGTAGTTGAGGGAGGTGTTGTATGTAATGTTGTAGGCGCCAAAGCTAGAAAGGTTTGAATGACATGTGTTTTATAAGTTTCGGTTGGCTCTTGAAAAGCCGACCTGGAACAACAAGAAACTGTACCAACTTTAAATAAAGTGACTTTCCTGTCTCAGTCTTTTCCTGGTTCCGTTGTGTGTTGAGTCGTGTAAATTCGTGAACAACAGGATTATGTATAATGTATGCGCCACGTACGACTTTCAGATCTCTTCAATCAAAGTTTCAGCTCGATCTGAACCCATTTTTCTATAATTTGCTCTGTGTGCCCCCACGGAGTGTTTCCGTTGCAATTTGAGGTCCTGCGGGAATGACAACAGCATGGAGGGATGGTTCCCACTGAAAGCAGTGACGCCGCCACCGCCCAGTCAGGCTTGGGCATACCAGGAGAATGGTCACAAGATCTGGCGTCAAGCCGGAGAGAATCCTGAGTAAATTCCCATCATATTGCCGTGATTGAAATTGTGTCGCGAAGGCCTCCCGCGAAGACCCACCCCGCAAAGAGCCGCCTCCTCGAAAAGAGGCGACAATACAGCCAAATCCAACACTTGCTGTGTACTTGTCACTTGTCCGTTGGAGTACTGTTGCCTTTCGATCTTGTACCTGGCAGGCTTGGGGTTGCCAGACACCACAGCATCCCCAGCCCAGCTCTTCACCCTCCTCGTGGCTTCCTCCAGAAGCAAAAGCCGCCACGCTGCACAAGTCTGCGTCGTTTTTCTTTGTG